ACTGACGAACTTATTTTAGAACCGCGTCTCTTTGCCACGGTTTGGGCAGGGCCTACGTTATTAATTGGCGGACTCGTTATTTAAGAGAAAACATTTTCCATAAACGCTCTTTGCGAGTTTACATTCCACTCTACCCTCGATGTTTACTTGTTAATGACACAAATATTTTTGTAAACAGTGGAAGTCGTAGGTAATCACACTGCACAGAGACTGTGTATTCCTCTTTCCTGTTCTAAAATTTCGTTAATTATTAAATTCGCTTAAAACATATTTAGGTGGGTTCTGACATTTCAGGGCTTGACTTCTAACAAGTCTGTATTGTAGTCCGATTTTCTGTAAGACGAGTCGGTATTAAGAAAATGTTAATAAAAAGGTATCCAGCTTCCGAAAAATGTGTTTTTGTAACCGGTAGACCGAGTAAAATGTCCAGTGATATGTACCAGTTTAAAGACAATTTTGCCAAGTTGAAATATTTTTGTAGTGCAAGAAATTAGTAAAGCTATTTCTAAAAAATGCTGAACTAATTGAACCAGGGTTTCTAGAGGTAAGAAGCCGCCTAAATACAATGTTTCGTTTCAGTAAGGTTGGGTGTTACGAACCTAGAATGTGATTTTGTATTAATATAAAACTGTAATCGAAGAATCGACTTAAGAAATCCAAATGAAGATACAAAAATTATACTAAAATGGACCTTAAGGACAGAGTCCATTGGCTGGCTCTTGTGAACACGATAATGGACTTTGTGTAATTTGTTGACTGATCATTTGACAGCTTTTCAAAGAAACGCGTTGCTCTACGGGTTAGTTACGAAGAATGTATTGCGCCTTATTTAATTAGTGGGGTTGTTGGAGGCGGTAACCAGGCGACACAGCACAGCATACCAAAAGACTGCCATCTTCATACTGGTCGCCGTGAGATCCTGAAATCCAATTTCATTAAATCCATTCCAGTCCATTTATAAAACGTGTAATTCAGTTTCTCAAATAATTCTTGTTTCGGCCAATTGACAGGACAGAATCAGTGTTCTGTATCTCGTCTATGCAAGTCGCGTTTCATTGAAATGTTCATATGCAAATGTGGTTCTTAGAGAACGCTTCATAACTGATTTAACGATGTGTTTTGAAGTAATCGTTTGACGCGCAGAAGACAGAATAAGGAAAACAGGATAGGAAAATGTGAATTGTGAGTGTTTGCGTTTTGGCGATACCATGAACGTGTTGAAAGTAGGTGGGGAAAGTTTCGGCAGATGGTAGACGTTTCTGCCGACACGAAGCGTTGACAAATGACACCGCCCTGCGCTTGTGAAGCATGAAGTCCGCAAGTTGTGGACCGCCAGGCCTACCGCGGTTTCCCATGGTACCCGTTCTACCTAGTTCCCCATTTAGGCCTACGCTATAATGCACGGCGTGTGTAGAATAGCTTAGAACAATTTTTAAACCGTAAAATTAAGCCTTTATTACTGTGTGTCGTTTCCGAATTGGTTATTTTCTTCGATAAATCATGACAGACATGTGGAAGACTCTTAGGCCGAGTGAAAGTTGCAAGTCCTTTGTGTGTTACGAACATTTTCATTTGGTTCTTGTGAACACGGTAGTGGGTTTCCTAAAAGGAGGGTAATTTTTAGTTAAGCTGAGCGTCCCTCATCCTCTCAAGCTGTTGTGTGCGCTATGGAGTTCGTTACTTTATTGATATTTTTTTTTTGCACAAAATGAATGCATAATGGAGGTGTGTATGCTCACCCACGTGGTTCACCTCTAAAACTACTCGACAGATTTTGATTAAACGCTGTATTTGCCGCCTGCACCAACAGTTGATGTGTTGATGTGTTTTAGGTCCAAATTTGCATTGAGTTTAAATCTAAGGTAATTTTTGTGAGATTTTATGTTCTCCAGCGGCGAAGATTTCTATAATCGTCCCCCGGGTGGTTACGCCGTGTCAACTCGTAGGAAGTAGCTACCTCCAAAGAGCCAAAATGTTCTTCCGAAACATTTTTTCGTCCCAGAAGTCCGCGCAGCGTTATAACTCACAACACCAACTCCATAATTTTTTCTCTCTCGAAAACTTTTCCTAGGGCTGAAATAAGAAATGATCTTGTTAAGATATAGGCCCAGGCTTACAGCCTTGAGTATTCATGCATAGGCCTAAGGACAGAGCGAGGAAAAATATTAATTTATCTCTGTTGCAGTATATTTGTAGTGTGATGGCTTTATCACAATAACTTTGTGTATGAACTAACAGATTTAGGTCTATAATTTAAATAATTTATCATTAAGGGTAATATTGTATGTGTACCTACAAAGTCACAGGGCACGCATTTGGGAAATACGAGAGGCCTACGCCCAGTCCCTTTGGAGCAGGAGGGCCCAACGCATCTTCGAAGATCAGACTTACTTGTTCTTTAATTTCATGATGAGGTTGTACTTTATATTTCGTGCCCTCAAAATGTATGTAGGATTTTAGCTATTTGGGAGTGTGTTAAGAAATTGTTGTCGTTAGATTAAAGTAGTCTAAGCCCATGGCCGATTTGCCCATTTCGTATGTGAAGCAAGCGCCCTTTGTGACTGTGTCTGATTTACGGATGATTCAATAAGTTTTGAGTATTTACTTTAAAAGATAATTCAGGGATAGTTATTTTTTAATGTTACATTGCAAGCAGTTATCTCTTTACTCCTGTTGGTAATTTATCTTCGTCATTTACATAGATCGACCTGTGGCGCAAGATTAGGCCTATGTGTAATTGTGTTTCGACTGTTATCACCATCTTGCGTAAGTAAGCTTCAAGTCGAAACCTTGGGATATTTTGAACACAGTACCTGGGAACGGTTTGAATCAGACATAACGCTTATTTGGTGTACGGATTCTTTGAATTGAATGCACTTTTCATAAGCTAATTTCGGATGTTATTAGACTACTTTATTAACGATCTAGTAGGCCTTTTCACTTAGGTTACTGATTTTGAGTTCTTGGTTTTGTAGGCCTGTTAGATCTGAGCATAGGCCAATCCGTTCAGTTTGAGATACGTAAGGCACAGACCGAGGTAAGGCCTACATTGACATAAATACTTGCTCGAATAGCACCGATTTCTTTTCTGTTTTAAGTAACTTCACGAAATTACTTATGTGTGTAATCTTAGAAATATTGTCCCGTGTATTCCAGGGGTCTCTTGTTGGTCAGGGCAAATTTCTTGCTTCTGATTGGTTATTTGTTTACATTACTTGGCGTTGCGTTGACGTAGTCTATATATTTCAATCTCCCTGGAATAGCCTGTAATTTTCCTTCCTTCTTAAATAGTCAGCGATGGGACATTCTTAGGCGCTACGCCACTAAGACACACTGCGATTTGAATTTCTATTAAAGATTTGTCCTCACATCGTTAATAGGCTTGTGGGCTTTACACTTCATTGTCGCAGTTAGTGTTCAGACATTTTTAGAAAGCTTTTGTTTGTTAGTAGCAGAGGCCTGTAAGTTCGGTTAACGATACGAAGTTCATGTGCTGATGGACAGGGCGAATTTTCTATTCGTAGTTGACATGCTGCCATTGTGTGGGTGTTCGTCAGTTACAGATTGTAGGACTTCATTGTTCTGAATTACCCAATGCCCAGTGGTGAAAGTTTCGCCGGCTAGCGAAGGAGAATCACATAAACAAATATCTCATATGCATTTACCAAGGCTGTCAGTTACTTATGGTTAGAAATACGGTCGCTTCTTGCGATGGGAACCAAAATTTATCTATGCAGACGGTGTGTTAAATATCAGTTCACGCGTGTCTTAATGCCCAGCCTAGACTAGACCTACAGAAGACCTGGACTTTGGTGGTTTCTTTTTGATAATTTGTAGGCCTATTCTCTTGCGTGCTGTTGTAATATTGTGTAGCTAGGAAACGTCTGTGTTAGTTAGACCTGATGTAAGACACATAAACAGTGGAAGTTAAAGTCAGTTAGGTTTGTAGCTCTGAAAAATTAATTCATTGTTTTTATTCATGTATTTACCTGATATTATTGTGAAGATGTTGGCTGCCGTGTCACCTGGATGCACATGCTGTCCAGGAATTATTACAGCTTGCCCCTACCCGGGCCTTCCTCCACAGTAAAACACATTTCATTGAAAGTCTTAGGTGGATTCCTATTTATATATTTTCATATACATACAGATATACACATAACACATCACTCAACACTCAAATGAACATGTACATTTCAGATGTCGCATCAGTGTTTTTCCCGATGTTCTTTTTGCACCATAAAGCATTTGCTGCACTGTCCATTATGGTTCTTCGTCCAACTCTTAATAGCACCAAAGTAGCGAATGTATCCTACGTTAGCTCTCATTGGAGCAGCACAGTGACTTTTAGCACAGGAGCGGGAGAAAGCTGATTTGGAGGAGTTCACATACATTTTAAATATCCTAATTAGGCCCTAGAGACGCTCTGTGACCGTACGTTTAGGGTTAACCGACCTAAGGCGGAACCATTTATGCCCGAAATTAGTGACATTTCGCTGTACTAAGGAAGGGACGTGTGGTAAAGTGAAACGATTGTTAGCAAGAAACATACACATTAATTTACAAGTTGGAAGAGGTAACTTCATTGAGTTTTAATGAGTATATGCCCTACGTACGATATGAAGTTGATTCATGTATCTTTCGAAATCTGTAGCCTATAGCAAGTCAAGCGATGATATCGTTTTAATCATGATGCGAAGAAGTTTTTAGCTTTGACAGATCTGTAGTACTTTAATTACCGCAAAGCCTTTTAGCAGATTCTACGCCCGTATTTTTCCCATGCAATTCTCTGAAGCCAATCCTTCATGCCAACAAGAATCACTGAAGCCAATCCTTCATGCCAACAAGAATCACTGAAGCCAATCCTTCATGCCAACAAGAATCACTGAAGCCAATCCTTCATGCCAACAAGAATCAGATCATCATGTTGTCGTTTGCACTCCTCACAGTTCTTCCAGAGTACACATCCCTTACAAGCCGTGTATGAACCGAAGCTGTCAGACGCAAATTGTGACAACATAAAGAGTTTTTCACTGGTTGTATGTAGAATATTTATTTGTTTAAAGATATATCAGAAGAATGCGCGCATTGTGTTGTTTTCGCCGCCGATCGGAACACTGAAACCGGAGCTGATGTATAGTTTCTCAACCCGAACCTTCCTTTCAGCGTGAATCTAAAGGAACACCTTGGTTGTTTACGAGTCTCGCTATTTTAATTTGCGTTTATATAAAGAAGCGGTATTCATAGGCAAATGACGACGAGGAACTTTGGGCTCAGAGCTTCTCCAGGGAGCGCGTGTTCGTCAACAGCTCCCTCGTGAGGCGCCACACCTGCTTCGCCGCGTTCTCAAGCGCGCTCGGAGACTTGCCCTTGAAGAGGTCGAGGTTGGGTAAGAAGTAGTGCGGGCAGCGTCGACATTGTAGGCACGAAATTAACTGCAGCAGGATCCCGTTGATGCGGTCCCCCAGGCAAGATTCGTCCCACTCCAGTTCCCGAGGGTGTTTCTCGCACTCGTACAGCAGCAGCGTCTTCATGTGGTACGACGACACGGGATTCCCGGGCAAGTCCAAGTGCCTGTCTCGTAGCGTCTTCAGGATGCTGAGGCACCGGCGTCGACAGCCGCCCAGCATCAGACGGTTTTCCGCCTCTGTGAACGACAGTACCCAGGCGTCGCCTTCCATCGCCGACTGCTTCCCTTGCATCGCTACGGATTCTTTGGACAGGAGATCGAAACCTTCCGTCTTCACCTCGGCTACCAGGTTCGGGTGAGGCCACGGAATGTGAGGAATGGGCCAGTGCGCGGCCGATCGAGGCCAAACTCCGGAACATTTGAACGCCGGGGTTATCTGCACGACGTATCTCTCCCGAATCCTGAGTTTTACCTCCGTGGTGTCTGCGATCATCTTCACGGAGTCTCTGTACGCGCATTTGTCACAGGCCTGTGCCACGAGCGTCTGGAAGCGAGACCTGATCTTGCGTGCGGAGAGGTAACCGGAAGCCGTGATGAACTCCACCCACAGGGACATGGACCTTTTGCGTCCGTCACTAAGCTTCAGGACGGCGCACCCTGGCAGAGTGCCATCGTCGACGAAGTTGAAGACCCCCATCTGGTTGAGGTACAGTACGACTTCAAACTCTCCGGGAGATATGACCTCCAGACCTTCATAGCGTCCGTTGCACTCCGTGAGGGAGGATATGAACCTTGGCTCCTGGACCTCGACTTCCTTGAGGACGTCTTGAACCACCTTGCACACTTCGCGGATTGTTTTGGCGACCTGTCCCTTCCTGCTCTGCACCCGTTCGCCGTAGTACTTGTTAATCTGGTACAGCATCTTGGACTGCGCTGCCATCATCTCCGGAGGTACCAGCATTTTGCTCCAAGCACTAGGTCGGTGGACACGGCGAAGAATGGACATGCAATCTTATTGACGATTCTCGGTTGTGGGTTGGCTCCATGGAGGGGTGGTCGACGGAGACAAAAGGGTGTGTCACCAGGAAGGGGTGTGAATTCCGCGGAAGTGTCGTGTGATCCGCGCACCGTACGAAGAAAGTTCCAAGCCGAGCTGGCTCTGAGGCCACACTGCGCTGGGGCTACGTGCAGAGGCCCTGTGCTCTGCGTGACGTGGGCGGGGCTTGTGCTACTGAAACTCCTGACGCGACCAATGCCGGCGTGAAGCCCCGCCCCAGGGCTGAGAGAAGCGCCGACGCAGGCCGCGCTGTCGTAGACCCCGCCTTCTGCTGTATGTTCGGCCCACGAACGAGGCTTCTCATCCCCTGACGGAAAATGAAAGGAAAAAGATTTTAAACGAGACAGAGAGAGATGCATGTCATGTCTTGCTAATCCGTGTGTTGTGGGACGTAGTTGCTTCAAACCAACACTCTTGGAAATGTTTCCACACCTTCTGAGGTAAGGAGTACGTCACTATTACCTTTACATTACGTATTTGAAACTCTGAAAATTGTAGCCAAAACAGGGCGACGGTGTTCATTTTTCTTAGAGTATCGTTTAGTTATAGGCGTAATTTTGATGCCTGAATTTGTTTTTTCCATCCTCCGGTATTTATCGTCTTCTCTTGACTCTGGTTAAAATTCTTCTAGCATTAGAAATTGGAATTTTGCACGATTTCTACCCTGTATATAAGAATGCGTTCGAAAAGAAATTCCGTGTTGATATCAAACAATTAAGTCGATATCAGATATTTTTATCGGTTCTATTGCTTTGTAATGTTACAACTCCGCCATATTTATTCTGCGTTGTACCTTAAGGGTCTGTATAAACCGACGTCTTAAGGAACATTTTTTAGACACGCTGTATTTTTTTGGGAATTAGATTCACATTAAAATGTTTAAAACCTGAGTTGTATTAAATTTCTGTTCTTGAACGATGTCTAGACGGGTTTTTTTTAGCAGTGTGAACACGACAAATATTTAATTAACGAACAAATGCTAATGAAAGAGCTGCTGTAAGTAGTTCGTTATGAATGAGACCACTGCGTATGTTAATGAACAGCCATGGAAAATGATAATTGTCGTGACCTCGGCGTATATTAATGAATGGAACCACAGAATGTGATTGGCAGTGCGGCCATGGTTAGCAACAGCGAATGTGACCACGGAAAATGTTTTATTTATGAGTGTGGCTTGTAGAATATTAGCCGCTGCTAATGAATGTGACCAAGAGAAATTTTGATGTAGGACCACTGATTGACTGTTCTCTCAAGATTAGTGGAAGATAGGCACAAGGCCTAATGTGTGCAAACAAAATGTTGATTCTCCTATTATTTATTGAAACAATCGACACGACATATTTGTAGGTCTTTTTAAACATTCTGATGTTGGCCGAGTAAGCCTGCTATTACGTGTTCGTGTTTAGGCTATAATTAGCTGCTTGTACGAGACCGAGAGAACAGGTTTGACAAGTCCATTTTTAAGTTACGCGTAACTGAAGTGCAAAATTACAGTCGTGGAGTATTTATCCATTCATAAAATCACTTAAAAATTTTACTTAGGAACGTTCAACTATGCGCCGAGAACGCCGATGGACAGATTTGAATTTTTAAGTTCAGAATGGAAAACATGTTGCACTATATATTAGAGAGACAGTCGGTTGACTTTAGAAATAATTATAAATTAAAATAATAAAGAATGAAAATGTTATGAACACATAGAAATAAATGTCAGAGGAACAGTGCTAAAGGAATGACCTGGTGCTACATAGATTGGCCTTTCGGGATGACCGTCAGCAAAAACACTTCTTAACAGTCTGGCGACAATTTTCGACGTGACTTCATTTGTAATTTCTTTCAGTATTTTCTGGGACGTGTCACTGGCTGTCATTTGCCAAGCCTCTGGAGGAGGCATTATGTAAGCATTAAAGTAACTGCAATTATTCAGGCACATTTAAGCATCACTTCATTGTCGTATCGCTAGATTCACACGCGTTCCGCGAAAAATGCATACAAAATTTTAGTCGGAAAATCCCGAAATGAACGACATCTTGTTCGACCGATGCGAAGTCTAGATGGAGGATCGACTCCACTGCCGCCAGCGCTAACAGGGGCTGTGGACGGTCCAGGGTCTCTTTCATCGGTGGCTGTAGCCTTGCCGAGCGGAGGGCGCCTCGGAGCTTCCTTTTGTTAAGTCCTGCTAGGTACATTGTGTATAATTGTATCAGCTCCACTGTAAAAGGGGCCCATAATGCATCAGTAGAAGGGGAACACAGTAGGCCTACTAGAGCAGAATAATTTCCATCCGTAAAACCTAATGTGAGAGTACAGGGTGTTTAAAAATACCGACGAATTTATCTGAAATTCTACTGAAAATTATGCAGTTCTTTTATGAAAGTGTAAACTATAAGTTTGGTGGCTGCGAGATGTATTTTGATTTATTTTTAGCGTTAAACTTATATTTGGATTGTGAATTTTGTGTGGTCTACCCTAATTTATTGTGCAATAATATAGAATAAATATTATGTATAAAACACACAGCCTAAGATCTGTTAGACGCAAGTAAATTAGCATATTATATTCAAGTCTTGTAACCGGAATGTAGTACAATCACGATGTAAATGTAATCGTAATTCTTTCGAGAATGTGACGTTATATTTCTGAAACACGAAACGTAGGCTACATTCTTGAAGACTTGAATGAATTCGCGAAATGTTTACTGCCATTCAGCTCTATTCTGTTGTTCTGCTTGGGTGTAAAACTCGGTTTCTCACTAAGACAGGACCGGTGTAGGCCCTCGGGTGCGTCTGAGAGCATTGGAGAGGAGAGTGTTTGATCTTAAGAGGCCGACTGTCGGTACTTATCTATGTGTCAATTCCTTAACTCAAAGCGTCGCTCTCGGAAGTTTGGCACTCTTGCGTATTCAGCAGATCGTGGGTTCGATTTCTGTCCTGCTTGGCGATAATATTGAAATCTTCATGGTTTTCCTCATTCTGTTCAGACAAATTCTGGTTCCTTGCCGTAGTAGGCTACGAACTGTTTCTTACGCTCCGTTACCAAATCATCATTCCCGGTTGACGCTCGTTGGACGCAGCTGGGAAGGAAAACGGAAAATATTTGATTGTCGCTGTTGGATACGCAGTGAATATTCGATTGATTTGCCTTCGTCAAGTGCGAGATTTAGGTCTACTAGGCGGGACAGCTTGAGCGTCTCGTGATATAGGCCTGGCCATTGACGGCCACTCTTCTGCTGAACATTGTCCCGTTGAGGGAAATAATGACATTGATGTTCCCAGTGGAGAATAGGGGAATATCCTTTTCTGAAAAGCTCTGTGATGATATATGAGCAGTAATAGGGTAGGGGGCTTTGGGTTTTTACGGGACGTTAGACTTCTTTGTATAGAGATGCGTTGTGTTGGTATCTGCCCGCACCCTGCAAGTGTAAGTGCCGCCACTCCAGCGTAGTGCAACGTACACACAAACACAATGCTACATGCAGAAAATTGTGTTATGCCTGTGTTGTGTAATTTGCCTCTTTTGTTGTCTTTTATCCTTTCTGCCTTTTTATTCTTCTCGAAGAAGGAACTCAATGTTGAGTGGAAAAGAATTTGAGTTGTTAGCGTAAAAGTGACCTATCTCAATTCCTATAGGTTCTCTGCACAGACATTTTATTGCTTTATTAAACGATGTTTTACAACTGTGTGTTCTAATTTTATATAATACCGTCAATAGGAGGATATTGGTGAATGTGGAAGGTAGCATATTGTGCTGTCGTTTCCCCCAGTAGGTCTTAGGAATTCGAACTTCTGTTTGAATCTCGGACTCTTTATTATCTTACTGCAAAAAGTGCATCGACTAGATGATTAGTGGGGAGATCGTCCGTCCTCTTGTTTATTCCTGCAAACATTTCATACTGAATGTCTGCATTGAAATTATCGTATTAATTTAATAATAAATAAATATGTAAATGCGATCTACTGTTTCTCACTAGGCCTAGGCCTGGGTGCCTGGCGTCGTATTATACAAACAGGTGGAGCTTAACAGGCAAAGTAAGAGTACGTTTGTTTCTATTTATTTCGCAGTTCATAATATAATTTCACAAAAAACTGTGAAAAATATTTGATTGCCGTCTGCAG